GATGTGGGACCATCACTCAAAGAGTGCCAGGTTTATCCCCTCTTTACCACTGACTGCTTCCAAGAAAAGAGAAAGAGAAAGTGTAGGCGGGGAGAGTTTACAATCGGACCCTCCTCCCCCCATCACATTACCTATTCCCTGCACACTTTCCACATCTATAAAGTACAGAAAACAACGCCTACTTTTGAGGCTTGTGGCAATGGCAGAGGTTGTCCATAAAGCATCAGCTTTATGGGAGGTTCAAGCTGTACTGCCCAAGCCTCTCCTAACCCTGAGTTTGGTTGGTGACCATGGGCACTGAGAGATACCACACTATCTAAATCCACTTGTTTCTTGAGTTTCTGATCATGAATAACTATATTTCAGAGATCAAGATACCAGCCTTAACTCAAAAAGAGTACCCACATCTCTTTTTTTTTTTTTTTTTAGAGAACTTTTTGCTATAGGGTGCATGTGCTCACCGGAGAGACAGAGAGACAGAAAGCAAGAAATCACCCCCCTACAGGGGTAGCCACACTGCAGTCTCTTCTCTTCCAGTCTCTTCTCAGGATTTTGGGCACACATACACATGCGCCACCAGCATGAGTTTTAAGCTGTCGGGTCTGGGACTGGAACTGCAGTTGATTACATGGGAGTCCAGCAATGTAATCATGATGCCATCTGTGGTCCTGAGCATCCACGGTTTGGGTACAGATAGTCAGAGTTTGAATAACAAGGAAGACCTGTAGTTTGCCCTCAACAATGGCAGCTCAGCTCCAACTATCACTGTGCAATGTGAGAATTAATGAAAGCTGTAGCTAACTAACATCACATGCTTTCATTCTTCTAACCCTCTAAAAGCCCAATGAGACAGGGGGTGCTGTTACCCTTGAACTGAGGAAACCAAGTCTTACGGAGGCATGCATAGCTGGTACGTGGGATGCTAACTGATATGTTTTGTTCTTAATCATGACTCTGTGCTGACTTCCTTTCCTCTTCTGATGAACTGAGAAAAAAATATACACACCTTCAAAAGGTAGGGTTGGGTTGATTGGTAATTCCTGAATGTGTTGTAGGAGGAAGGCAGCCAGTCCATTTGCCTTCACTGTGGCCAGATCAAGCAGCCTTCTTGCCTATGGGAAAAGCAAAAGCCATTATTTATCCTAAAAGGCTAATGTAGCAGGGTGAAAAGATTTCAACTGAGTACTACAATTGCATACACCTCTCTCTTCCACCACAAGAAAGGCCAAAAAAAAAAAAAAAAATCAACCAACTACATGAGTTTAAAGAAGTTAATACAGCACTGAATGATGAATTGAACACACATATCCAAACGGGTTCCCTCTTAAAAGCCCACTAGAAGAATGAATAACTAGGCCAGCCATAGTAGCAAAGTAGTTACACAATGCTCCATGATGTTGAAGCCATAAGGGCAGGTCCTGGGTTCATAGTGACAGCTCCCTGTACATGCCAGGTACACACACATGTGTTCATGACCCTGGCTGGCTGACACCGAAGAGAAGATCATGGCATGAAGGCCCTACTGTGGCTCTCTCTCTCTCTCTCTCTCTCTCTCTCTCTCTCTCTGTGTGTGTGTGTGTGTGTGTGTGTCATAAAGAAATAATTAAAGTTTTCTTTAAAATTGTGAATAGGGGTACCCCACCATGTGAGGGTACTCTGACTGTGGCAACTGTTGAGGGGCTGCCTCTGAGAAGGCAGTGAGGCACCACTGGCCCCTTAAACATCTTCTCAAGTTTATTCTATGTTAAAAGGAATGACTGCACCATTTGTCTGAGCTATGGCAGTCAGACCTGGTAGTGAGAACTTCTCTATAGATCCCCCAAACCTGGCAAGGATGGTGCAGATTTTGACAGATTGTGCCTTCATCCCCACCCAGCACTGACGATATTATCAGAAGAAACAGGAAGGAGGGTAGAAACAGGCACACCCGTAGGAGATTCACACCACAGTCCCCCCCAGCCTCAACCATCCTGGATCACTGGCACACGAACCTGGCTTACATAAAGAAGTTCCAGGACATGGACCTGGAACTTTTCCATGTGGATTCAGTTGTGTTATTACCACTGTACCACCTACTAGCATTTAAAAAAGAAAATCCAAATAATTTTCAAGGAAAGTTAATAAATAAAATCAACCAAAAATTGATAAATAAAATCTAATATCTATGCAATGGAATATAACTCTTTGCAATGAAAGAATGAATAATTGAAATATACCACAGAATGGATGGATCTGAAAATAATTATACTGAATGGAAGAAGTCAGACAAAAAAGAATACATACTGTATGACATAATTTCTATATGATTTCTAAAAATGAAAAAAGAAAACAAAATTGTAAGTAGGGACCAGCAGATGACAAAGCAGTTGCGTCGTTGGACTCCCACATGGCCGACCACGTTTCAAGTCTGGACCTGGTGGCTTGAAACTCACACCATGCGTATGTTCGTGCATGCGTATGTGTCCAAAATCCCAGGAGGAGAATGGAGAAGGAATTGTGGCATGGCTATCCCTGCTAGGGGGTAACTTCTCACTTTCACGATCCCTGTCTGTCTGTCTCTCTCTCTCTCTCTCTCTGTCTCTCTCTGTCTCTCCAGTGAGTACAGGCACGCCTAAAGCAAAACCCTCTAAAAAAGAGAGAGAGAGAGAAAGAAAATTAAAACTGTGAATAATTTTAAAAACAAACAAAATGAAATAAAATAAAAACCTAAACCTACAAACCCACAAAGATAAGGAAGATGATTTTGGAAGCTGTAAATCATTAGGAAGAGAACTGACTTCATCGAGTGGTACAGCTTGAATGTTGGAACTTCTCCTCTACTCACAACCCCCGCAGTGTCACGTCCAGCCTGAACTATTGCCCTGAACCTTGGACACGCACATCCAAGTTCCTAGTTCCATCTCCACTTAAATGTTTCATAAATACCTCCAAATTATCATTCCCCAAATTATCATTACTCCTCTACTCTCATCTCTTCCTCCTCTTCTTGTTCACTCTACTCACCCACGAGCCTCCTATTTCCTAGAAATACCCAGCATGCTCCCTCCTCTGGATCTTTTCTCCGGCTGTCCCCTCTGCCTGGAAAGCCTTTCCTCCAGCTAGCCACATGGTTAATTCCCTCACTCTTTCGAGTCCTTTCTTAGATTGCAGCTTCTCAGTGAGAACTCTCTGACCATTCTACTTAAAATGTAAATCACTATTTGTGCTCCTCCCCAAGCTCTGGACACCTAAACCCACTTTACTTACTCTCTACAGTGTTATCAACTCCTAATAACACACTCTGTAATTTGCTCCCTTTTTCTTGTTATCTATATTCCCCCACTGGGATGTGAGCATCTCCATTCTGGAGACTTGTCTGTCTTGCTCACTGAGATACTCCCAACACTTATAAGGGTCCCAGGCACAAACAAGGTGCTCAGGACTCACTGGATGAATAAATGGTAATGGACTCTAGAAAGCCAAATCCCATGCCAAAAATGGGGATGTTGAGGGCCAGATAGTGGCACAGTGGTAACACATCCAGACCCACATAGAAAAGGTCCTGGGTTTATATATGTAGCCTCGCTGACTATGCTGGGTGCATATGTGCATATTCATGATGCAGACTGGTTGAACTGGAGGTATTTCGCAGCCTGAAGACTCTGTCAAGGTCTCGGTCTCTCTCTCTCTCTCTCTCTCTCTCTCTCAATAAAAAAGTAAATCTTTAAAATGGGGAATTTGGGGGCCAGTAGGTGGCATGGTGGTTAAGGTGCTAGACTTCCACATGGCCGACCATGGTTCAAGTCTTGGACCTGGCAGCTTATTTTCTAACTTTCTCTCTCTCTTTGTCTTCCTCTGGTCGAATTAAAAGATAAATAATAATAACAAATAAAATTAAATTAATATTTTAATGGAGAAATTAGGGGCCAGCAGATGGCATAATGGTTACGTTGTTGGACTTCCACATGGTTAACCGCAGTTCGAATACTGGACCCAGAGGCTTGAAACTCACCCCAGGTACATGTACATGCATGCCCAAAAATCCTGAGAGGAGAAAGGAGGAGAAGAGTTTTCAGCATGGCCATCCCTCTGGGGAGTGAATTCTCACTTTCTGTCTCTCTGTCTCTCTGGCAAGCATATGCACCCTATAGCCAAAATCTCTCTTTAAAAAAGAGAGGAGCAGGAACCAGCAGTTAGCGTAATGGCTATGTCGCTGGACTCCCACGTAGTCGACAGTGGTTCACGTCCCGGACCTGGTGGCTTAAAACTCACGCCAGGCGCCTGTGCAAGCGTGCCTAAGATCCCGAGATGAGAATGGAGGAGAAGGGATTGCGGCGTGGCCATCCCCCCTGGGGGGTGATTTCTCGCTTTCTGTCTCTATGTCTCTCTCTGTCTGTCTGGCAAGAACACGCGCCCTATAGCGAAAACCTCTCCAAAAAAAAAAAAAAGAGGAGTTAAAATCATATCATTCAAATTAGAATCTGTAAAAGGCTTTAGATCTGTCTGCATCAGGTACCTCTGGAACGGAAGAACATGAGTAAAATAAGGACATGGTCAAAGTGTTTATTAAACAAATCTCTGGTTTCCCTTACCCACTTCAAGCTATCAGCAACTATTTCTGCCTGCCATGGCAAAGTCTGAAGACTTATATTCTGAAAAGAGTAAAAGAGAAGGTCCCTTGGCAGTGGGACACAGGACACAATTAAAGAAGTGGATATCTCATCCCAAACAGAGGGTTTAAATGTTGAATGCTGAGACCTTTCCCCACCACCACCACTACCTAGCCCTCTCACCAACCAGGTTCCCAAACTTCTGGCAGTCAGAACTTTATCCCCACGCAGGATGTTTGTGTTCTACTCAGGGAACTTGATCAATTTAAGAAGAAAAGTGTAAAGACATAAACAGTGCCATTTTCCCAAATGTCTACAGTGAAATGCATGGAAGACAAATTTCACCTGTATGCTTAGTAAGTTCTAAAGCCCTAAACAATCATGATCCTTGAAAGAAAACATCTAACATGGAAGACAGAACCAAAACAAGTGTGGGAAGGGAAAGCAATTTTTAGAATAACAAGTTTATATGGGATAAAAAATATCAAACAAACATAAACATTCAACTTCCATTGTATCCATGAAACACAGAAAGATGCTATAATGAAGGAATAGTGAGAAAAAGCTATTGTGGTAAAGTGGGTGGTGTGATAGTTCAGGTGGCTGGAGCCTACGTGGCTGACTATATGGTTTGAATCCTGGAACCAGATGGCTTAAAAAAATAAGCTGGACACATGTGCACACATGCCCAAAACCCCAGTAGGAGAATGGAGGAGATAGAATTGTAATGTGACTATCCCCTAAGGGAGGAGGGGTGTGCTTTCTCTCTTTCTCTCTCTGCCTCTTTCTCTCTCTTTCTCTGGTGAGTGCACATATCCTCTAATTTTTTTTTTTTGAAAAAAAAAGCTCTCGTGGGACAGACAGCATAATGGCTATGTCGCTGGAGTCCCGCGTAGTCGACCGCGGTTCGAGTCCCGGACCTGGCAGCTTAAACTCACGCCGGGCGTGTGTGTGTGCGTGCCCAGGATCCCAAGAGGAGAATGGAGGAGAAGGGATTGTGGCGTGGCCATCCCCCCTGGGGGGTGATTTCTCGCTTTCTGTCTCTCTGTCTTTCTGGCGTGCGCACACACCCTATAGCAAAAACCTCTCAAAAAAAAAAAAAAGCTCTCACAAACTAAAAGTATGATAGCAAAACTTTTAAAAATTCAAGAGTTTAAAGGTAGAATTGACAATATTAACTGGAAAGTAGAGCAAAAAGACACATATATAGAAAATAGAATAAAACTAGAGGATCAGTTAAGAAGTTCTAAAATTCAAGGAGTAGTAACTCCATAAGGAGAGAAGAGAGAAAACAGAAGAAATCACCTATAATTTAATCAAGAACATTTCCCAGAACACAAGGATATGGATTTTCAGATTCACCTCTTGGGTGTTCAACATAATGGAAGAACACAAAAGCACACAGCTGTAAAATATCAGGTTGTTGAAGACTAAAAGAAAATTATAAAAGCTTCCAGAAAAAAAGTTATAAAATTATCTAGAATTCGTAGCAGCAACATTGAAAAGAGAAGATAATGAAGTAG